CACATCTTCTTTATCCATTATCTGTTGATGGACATCTGGGCTCTTTCCATAGTTTTTAATGTATGCATTTCTGAAGGATTGTTTTTCATTTTAAAGTAAACAACTCCTATTTTATAGAAAGGTAGAGCTCTCTTCCCTTTGCCCCCACAATGCCCCATACACCATGAACACCATTTTCTTATAATTTAAAAATAATTACTAGATTCATGAAAGTGGTTGCCTCTGGGGAGTAGTGGGGAAAGGTCTAGTTTTCACAGTACCTCTGCCTTTTCACTTTTCTACCCATGTGACTATGTTACCTATTATAAGGTGTTTATAGTTTTCATAGAGCTGTGATCATTCTGTACGTGCAATAGTGTAGATCTTATTTTTCCACCCAGTCTTACACCCTACACCCTCCTGTCTCACCTCCTTGTCTGTTAGCACCTTGTTAACAGCTGCGCCAGAGTTTTCCATGTCTGGCTCTCCTCTGTTGTTTGAATGTTTGACTTAGTTCTGCTTTTTCATAGTTTCATAGTGAACATGTTGGTGCTTAAATGTTTTTCCAAATTTAGGATTCTTTCCCTCGGGTAGGTTTTGCCAAATGGGAATCACTGGGTCAGGATGGGTATGATCGTTTTAAGGTTCTTGATACATACATCCAAGCTCCTTTGAAAACATTACACCAGTTTGCACTGCTGCCTATAATGTGATGGCATGTGTTCCACATGTCCTTGTTGGCATTATGTATTAACAGCATTTTTCTCCTTTGCTAATTTAATAGGGGAAAGGGCATCTAATTTTAATTGAATTTATTTAGTTCTTAAGGAGGTTGAACATTTCCCTCTAAATTTGTTAAGCAATTATATTTTTCCTCTCTTTGCATGATCTTTGTGGCTTTAATACCTTTCTATCAATTTAAGTAATCTCTTTATATAATAAATATATTAATTATTTCTCTTCATTTTGGCCATGTTTTGCCCAAATTGTTTGGCATTTTTTTGAATTATTTTTTGACAAGGTTTCCATTTTTATATAGTTCAATCCTTCCATGTTCCAAGCCTATAAAATCTAAACTTCTCTAAACAGAGTGTTTTCATTATTTTATTTTTATATCTATTTTAACTACTCTTTAATTAACTTTGATGTATGGTGTGAAGTAATCAAAATTACCCATTCTTAATTGCTCCAACATCAATTATTAGTAAACCATTCAGTCATGTTATTTGTATAGTGTAGGATCTATTATCTGGACCATCTACTTTGTTTCATTGACTTGTCCTATTTTATCTTAGATCTATAGTCTTCTTAATTTTTGGAGCCTTATATTTGAGTTTTCTATCATTGTACCTTTAAAAAGTATATTTATATGTGTGCATATTTATATGAAAAATATATAATTGCTATTCTTCTGGATGAAAATTTATGTTTATTAAAGTCTTTTGATTATAGTGACATGAACTTATAAATAAATTAGAGAAAAAAAAGCATTGTTACATTTAATCTTAGCATCCAGGAACATATTGTCCTTTCAATCAAAGTTTATAGTTTACTTCTCATCAGGTCACAAGTTTTCCTTAGTCATTCCTACATACTGTTGCAGTTCTGGGTTTCCTTGTGTAGGGTTTTTCTTTTTTCTGTTAAGAGTTCTCATAAAAAAAGCCAGCATTCCAGGAATGGGGTTACTTCAGTGTTGCCCCACTGCATGCATTCAAGCCAACCAAACCCCTGACTTCCAGAAGCAGCTGGGGGCCACAGATGCTCCTGAAATATTGATGTAAGCTGGGGACCCTTTCTCCAGGAAATCAGAGAAGCCTAGCAGTGTGCGTGGGTATGTGCATGTGTGTGTATCCACACACAGACTTATGAATACGACCTCAGTGGGTCAGCCATGCCCCCACCTTAGCTTCAAATCTCTCCTCCCACTGACAACTTCCAGTTGGGAAGCTCTGCGTTCAGTGCTGGTGCCCAGGCCATCAGGTCTCCTACAGGTGGGATCTTGAAGGAGGAAAGAAGTACAGGACCCACTGCCGTGGCACCTGGCCCACTTCAGCCTCTCAGGTAAAATGTTAGGCTTGGAATAAAGAGAAGGGATCTGAGCTGCAAAGAATCTCCACTATGATGTGTATCTGAGGGAGCCAGGTGGGCAGGATCGGGAAAGTCATGAAGAGGAAAGGAGATAATCCTCAACAAAGGACCTCCTGTTACAAGATCTTTGATATTTCAAGAGATGCTGGAATGCTCAATTTTTATGTGATGTTTCCCAATATTTTAATGGAGGCAACTAATTAAAAAAAAATCCACTCAGGACCATAAAACATTTGTGGGCTATGTCTGGTCCATAGATCCTGTTTTGAGGCATCTGAATCACTATGGGCCAGATCCTCTGCTGGCTTCTAATCCTTATGCCTTGACGAGGTAGGGATTTAGAGTGAATAGATTGACAGCCCACAGAGATCAGGTCTTAATCCCTGGAACTTTTAAATGTTACCTTATTTGGAAAAGGGGGCTTTTCAGATACGATCGAGGAGTTTGAGATGAAGAGATTATCTGGGTGGGCCCTAAATGCCACTAACATATCCTTATAAGGAAGCAGAAGATCTCTCTCTCTCTCTCTCTCACACACACACACAAAATTTTAAGACTAGAATGATTCAGCCACAAAACAAGAACACCAGCAGCTGAAGAGGCAAGGAAGGATTGTTCCATGGAGCCTCCAGATTAAGGCCTTGCTGACATCTTGATTTTGACCCAGTGATACTGATTTCAGGTTTCTGACCTCCAGAACTGTGAAAGATGAAATTTCTGTTTTAAGCCACTAGGTTTGTGGCAATTTGTTAAAGCAGTCACAGGAAACGAATACATCTAGGAACATCTTAGAAATTCTGAGGCTCCATCCCAGACCTACTGAACCAGAGATTCTGGAAGTGGAGCCCAGCACCCTGTTTTAACAAGCCCTACAGGGGATTCTGTTGAAAGCTAAAGTTCCAAAAAACACTGGGTTGAAAAAGAGGTACCAGGCATTTTGTGCAAATGTGTTGATGGGGCCTGTGGCAGAACTGGAGATGAGCTTGATCTAAAGGCATTCATGCATTTGCTTGAAGTGCTTGACCCCCATAGGCATATGAGCTTTTCAACCTTATCCTGAACCAGTATTTCTCAAACTTCAGTGTACAATAAAGAGAAAGGTAATAAGCAAAACAAGGTGGTATGTGCTACAAAGAAAAAGATGGTAAATAGGCAGAGGGAGTGCCGGTTGAGAGGGCTAATTTTAGACTGGGTGGTCCAAGAAAAGCTTTCTGAAGAGGTGGCCCTATGAGAAGTCAGCCAAGGAACAACTGGGGAGGACAGGGTTCTGGGCAGAGGGAACAGCATGTGCAAAGGTCCTGAGGTCAGAAAATAGCTTAATGTTGGGAGGTAGTGGTGGGAGAGCAGTGTTGTCACAACCCGCTGGAGGAACTAAATGTGTACTGTGTGACTGTGCTTGGAGAGGAATCCTGAAAGCTTGTGCCTGGTTTCCTCCAGACTTCACCCCATGCGCCTCTTAGCTGGTTTTGCTTTGTATCCTTTTGCTATGATAACTCTTAGCCATGAGTAGGACTATATGCTGAATCCTTTGACCTCTTACTGAGTCACCACAATGGGGTGGTTTTGGGGACCCCTGAGGCATATCCCCATGACTAATGTATAATGTGATGTTTCAGACCTCTTGGGGTGAATGAAATCTGAAGGTTTCACGTGCATAGTATGTTTTATTAAGAACTGCCGGAAGTTAGTTGCCACAAAGGTCTTCCTCACCCTCTCTGTATGCATAGGATTCTCCCTTGTATGGATCCTCTGATGTACTTTAAGGGATGAATCACAACTACTAAAGGCTTTTAGACATTCCTTACACTCACAGGTTGTCTTGATGCTGTGGGTCCACTGGTGCTTGGTCAGGGAGGAGCAATACCTGAAGGTGTCTCCGCACTCCTTACACATATAGGGACTCTCCCCGTTGGGAGTTCTCTGATGGAGGCTGAGGGAGGAGCTATAGCTGAAAGTCTTCTCACAGTCGCTGCATTTGTAGGGCTTCTCTCCTGTGTGGGTTTTCCGGTGGCTTGATGAGGGAGGACCTGTACCGAAAGGGTTTCCTACAGTCGGGGCATTTATAGGGGTTCTCACCTGTATGAGTTCTCTGGTGATTAAGGGATGAGGCCCAGCTAAAGACCTTTCCACATTCATTGCATCCATAAGGTTTCTCCCCATTGTGGATCCTCCGGTGTTGGCTGAAGAATAACTGATCACTAAAGGCCTTCCCACACTCATTACATTGATAGGGTTTCTCGCCAGTGTGAATTCTCTGATGGGAGATGAGGGCTGAGCGTTTGCTGAAGCCTTTCCTACATTCATTACAGAGAAATGGTTTCTTGCCACTATGGATAATCTGGTGCTCCCTGAGAGAGGAGCTCCGCCTGAAAGCTTTGTCACAGTCCTCACACTTGTATGGTTTCTCTCCAGAATGAATACTTTGATGCTGAATAAGGTTTGCCCTCTGGCTAAAAGCCTTCGCACACTCACTGCATTCATAGGGTCTCTCCCCTGTGTGGATCCGCCAGTGTTGAGTAAGGAAGGACTTGGAGCTGAAGGCTCTCCCACAGTCAGGACATCTGTACCCTTTCTTCTCTGTGAAGCTGCTCAGAGATTTCACCAGGATTGGCATCTCGGGGAGGCTGTCCTCTTTGCAGGCCTTTATGAAGTTCATGTCCCAAAGTCCTTTCTTCTAGGGTGACTTTTCAGAGATATTATGCTTTGAAGGTGTCCTGTTGTTAGGCCCAGTGCCCCAGTCTGAAATAAAGTTTTCAAAACTGCAAATTCCTGTAAGATGTGAGACAGAACACTGAAAATAAGATGGCTGCTCCATTACCCATTGTGACTATTAGTCTTGTCAGCCTGACCATGCTCTAGTCCCCAGGGATTTCAATCAACTACGAATCTTAAGTGTTGGTTAGCATTTACAATCATTATCCATGATCATGTAGGTGGACCTCATCCAATCAGTTGAAGGCCTAAAGAGCAAAAACTGAGGTTTCATAGAGAGGAAATTTTGCCTTAAGACTGCAGCATCAGCTCCTGCCTGTTTCCAGCCTGCTGGGCAGCCCCACACATTTTGGACGTACCAGCCCCACAAATGCATGAGTCATTTCTTAAAGTAAATCCCTCAGTATATACAATTTTTTGGTCCTGTTTCTCTGGAGAATTCTGACTGATGCACCAGCTCTCTAGTGAGGCTGGACATCTGGGTCCAGTCTGGGTAAAGGAGGAAGCATGCACAGATTATAAAATCGGGGAAAGTAGGGTTGACCCACAGAGGAAGGAAATATGTCAAGGATGAACCCAGCTCATCTGGGAAGATGAGAACTTGGAAAGGGCAGACCAGGATACTGGGGCCTCAGAAAACCACGTGGGCTGAAGTGAGCCCTCACTACCTCACAGCCTGGTCTCAGGAGTTGGATCACATGCACATTCAATTTTAGGCCGCTGCTATTCTTCAGTGAGTCATGGAACTAACTCAGTCAGATTCCCAACTTTGACACTACTGACATTTTGGGCCAGATAATGCTCTCTTGTGGGGACTGTCCTGGGTATTGCAGGATGTTGAGCAGCATCCCTGGCCACTTCCACTCTGCACCAACAGCACCCTCTCAGCTGTGACAACCAAAAAAAATTTCTTCAGACATTGCTACATGTCAACTTAGGGCAAAACCACTCCAGGTTGAGACCACTGCTTCAGTGGGTTGTGGTAAGAAGTTTTAAAAAATGAAACTGAATGGAGTAACAGAGTGCACTGTGTATAATAAGGACAAGTATCATTTTTTTATAAAATTTTTGTTTCAATTATATCAGATGGACACAAAGCATGTGCAGTGGGCTGGGAGGTAAAATGTGACTTCTACCAGGATTTTGGTAGAAACAAGTTGAGGAACACAGACATAGGGGCAGTCAATTCTATCACAGGGATTGAGCGAGACAGAGCCAGAGAAAGAGGCAGAGAGGGGCAGAGGCCATAAAAGAAATAGGGCTCTAAACTGAACTGAGATGTCCTACGGTACGTTCTCTGTGGGCACCCTTCAATGGGACCCCCACAACTGGGCCCTTGTTGACCCTCATCTGGGTTCTCCTCTTCTCCTCCCCCACGTACCCCAGCCATACACTGGCATATAATGAGGGTTCAGCAGGTGTCAGCTACCAATAATGGGTAACCCAAGTGTTCAATCCCCTGGCCTCCAATTGGCTTAATAAAGAGAACAGATGTGGTCTGATGGCACTAGGGCCTGCAACTTCCGTTAGAACTTCTGGGAAAGAAAGGCTTCCACCCTGCTGGGACCACTGAGTGTCACTGAAGCCTGCTGCTGCCAGAAGTGGAAGGGGCCAGCCCGGGAGGGAAGCCAAGAGAGGAGAAAACAGAACTGAGAAACAGAGAGTGGGAGCCTATAGAGGACCAAAGAGACTAAGGCCGGGAGGTAACACTTGAGCTCCTGGATCCAGCCATGCCTGAAGCCTGAGTCACCCTTAACTTTTCCATTATGTTCATCCAGATAGATGGACACTTCAGGGGAAGGAGGGTGGGAGGACCCTCAGAGGCACTGAGTGGCTGAACCCCATCCCAACACAGTGCTGACACTCCTGATGCCCCTTGGCTTCTATGCAGTGAGGTGGGGTCTGAGTTCACTGATAAGTCACTTACCCAGTGAGACCAGGTTCCTGTAGTTCTCCAGCATGACGTCCCAATATAGGGCCTTCTGGCCAGGACTCAGCTGCCCCCACTCCTCCTGGGAGAAGTCTACCACCACATCCTGGAATGCCATCAGCTCCTGGAATGACAAGGCCATGGCATGACAGCCCTTCACATGGCCATAGGGAAAAGGGGCCTGGGGTTGGGAGGGGAGTCAAAAAAGAAAAGAGTGGGTCAGGCTGGGTTCAGGACTCACCACAGCATGGCTGAAGCAGCATGTGGTGGTCCAAGAGCTAGAAGAGCCCACAGACTCATGGAGTCTGGCATCCCTGTGAGGTTCTACAGGAAACTGCAATGCATTCAGCGTGACAAAGATTTACTGAGGTCGACTTATGCCGGGCACCTTTCCAGGCACTAGGGATACAGACCAAAACCCTGCCCTGGTGAATCCCACATTCTAGTCAGGCTTAGACAATAAACCAGCAAAATAGAGCATGTTAGATGGTGCTAAGTGCTACAGAGAAAAACAAGCAGGCAGGGACAACAGTGATGGGAGATTACATGCCAGCTAGAGTGGTCAGAAGAGACGTTACAGGAAAGTGACTCTGGACAAAGACCTGAGGGAGGTGAAGAGGTGTGTGCCACGTGGCTATTGGAAGATGCCAATATTTACTGGCACTGCCGATATTTTAAAACGTGGATATTTGTACAAAAATCCAAATGATCAGTCTTGAAAAACAGGAAGCTTTTACATTGCAAAGCCTGGATTCCTGCAGTGACAACATGCTGGAGCCAGGTCACAGTGGCCCCTTTAGATGGGCTGTGTTTCCCACTATGACACAGTAGGACCCCCAACCTCCCCACCTCTGGGATCTCAAACTCAAGAGCCTATGGGGGCTAGCCAGGTAATGGGAATGAATGAAGTGGACTGCCTGAATGCTTCTACCTTTCTTGAAACGCATGGCCCTCCTTCATCTTGCTTCCATTTCTCCCTTTTCTGATGGAAGTAATTCTCTGCGGACACAGGAATCCGTTGCTGGGGACCGATAGGGAGGGGTGGGGATTGCAGCAAACTGGAAATCCCTCTGTCCAAAGGGGCGCCCCTACTCAGCTCAGCTAACAGCTGTCATGGAACACTGGCCTAGTGTTGCTACCCTGAATGCAGCCCTCTGACCCTGCTTGGTGCATTCATGGATCTCCTGCAGCACTTAGCACCCAGGAATGACCAGGCTGATGTGTTTGTTGAGCGTCTCCCATCATTCCTGGTCTCCATACAGCAGGGGCCTCGTCAGTCTCAACAGCACTGCATCCCGGTGCCTACAGGGTGCCCCGCACACAGGAGGCCCGCAGATATCTGCTGACTAACAAGTGAAGCACACCCACCATCATCACTACCACACCAGATCTGTGTGCTCCGCACACAACCAGGAGCGATGTCCTGTCTTTCAGAACCCAGTGGCCTTTCCAGGGGAGACCAGTGAAGACTGACTTACCTGGGGCCTTGCAGTCCCAAGCCCGGGAACCATGCCCTCCTCTTCAGAGAACCTCTCCTGGTGGAGGCCTGAGACCCGAGCTGGGGGAGGAGGAAAGAGTGGTGAGAGGAGGCCCAGCTGGGCCATCATACCAGCCCCTCCTCTGGGACCTGGAATGACCACGTCCCTTGTTGGGGTTGGAGGAATGGGTTAAGTGGCCACTGTTTCCTGTAGCCTGATCCAAGCTGAGAACTCAAACTCTGGAAACAAGTTACTTGGGTTTGAATCCCATCTATGACCCACTAACTGTTATGACCTTGGACAAGTTCTAGGACCTCTCTCTGAGACTCAGTTTCCTTATTTGAGAAATGGGGTAAGAATAGGATCTACCTGCAGGACGTGGTAAGCATGAGCTCATTACTGTGGCGGATGGTGTTACTGCCCCCGTTCTTCACGCTCCCTATAGCTATACCCTCACTGTGTATCTCTGCAGTGATCTGTCACCTTAAGTGTGGTGCCCTTCCCCCACCTCTTGACATCAGGTCTGGCCTTGTAACTTGTGTCGACCAGTGGTGGCCCTCATCTGCTCACCACCTCACTGCCCTGCTGTTCCTCCAGCATCCCAGGCTCATTTCTGCCTTAGGGCCTTTGTCCTCGCCCTTCCCTCTGCCTACAACACTCTTCCTCCCCCTTCTCCTCCAGGTTATTCTCCCTATTCAGGGTTGAGCCTAGACCTCCGTCCTCAAGAGGGTATTTCTAACTGCCCAAACTCAATGAGTGGTCCTAGCCCCTAAGTCACTCTGTCCTACTGCCCTCTGGTATTTCCTCCAGAGCATTTATCAGTGACTGGCATTATTTTATTGCTGTTCCTCACTAGAACGTAAGTTCCATCACAACCACACCATCCAGGAACAAAACTTCACAGGCATCCTCTCGGAATCTCATACACAAGGGACAATGACACCTACAGATGAACACACAGCCACACAGACTCACTACAGGGTGACCACCTGGTTTAGATACGGTTGTCAAACTTACGCACGAACACAACCACACACATTGTTCACTTCCTCAGGCAAGTGCCCGGTAGCCCTTCCCACAGGGACATCCAGCATCGCACAGTGACACATATCACAACAGCCACCCAAAATCGCCCACCACGTAAGCCCCTCGCACACAAAATCACAGACATGAACCCAACTCCATTACGCAGTCACAGAAGTCACACAGGACTCTGTTCCCCGTCGCACTCAATCACATACAAACCCATAAAATGACAAACTGCCATCTACCCTCGCTACACACAGATGTGCAGTCAGTCACACAGACCCAGGCATGAGTACAAACTCATACACACCAAGCCCTGTCCACACTCAACAGGCACACCCAGCCTCAAGCAGGCGGTGGACACTCAGACAAAATCACACAGACACACACAGCCCTTGAGAGACAACTCCAGACACTCAGGAAATCCCATCCCAGCTCTGACAAATCTTCCTCGGCGACGCCCCGCGCTCCACCCCCAGGGCACCGGCCGCTCGCCGCAGGCGCACGCGCGCAGGAACACGCAGAGACGCCTCACCACGCAGACTTCGCTGGATCACAGACACACCCGACACTACATGCCGTCGCCGCACACACACTCGCACCGAGTCACGGATCACAAAGTCACACTCAGGAAAGGACGCTCGCTCGCCCGCCGCGCGCACCACACTCGCCATGGGCGAGCCTCGACGCAGCCCGGCCGGAAGCGGAAGCGTTCCCCGCGCCCGGGCGCAGAGCACTCTGGGAGTTGTGGTCCAGAGACCGGCGCGCGGGCGTTACGTCCCTGTGGCGCCGGGGCTTCATCCTCCCTAGGATCACCTCCCCTTGTCTGAGGAGTAGGAACTAGCCCTGCAAAGCTGAAACTCCCCGGCTCAGAAGTGAGAAGTAATACTCCACAAATGATAAGGGACCGGAAGGCAATAAGAGGGGAGAGGACGATGCTGCCGAAAGAGGCGGCTTGGAAAGGTCTCTTCATCTTCAAAGAGGTGACATTTGAAGCGCGTCTCAAGCCGGTGCAGCGGCAGCGACGCTCCAGTTTGGGGAAGGAGCGAGTGCAAAGGCCCTGAGGCAGGGAGAAGATTGAGGAGTTTGAAGAACTGAGGTAACGCCAGCATAGCTCGTGATGAAAGATGCGGGCGAGGGTGCGGGGGAGGAGGCTGGAGAGCCCGCCCGAGGCAGTGAGAGGGCACTGAAGGGCTGCAGCAGGGGGATGGCGCGTCCTGATTTATACTTTCACAGGAACCCTTGGCTTCTGGGTGGAGGGTGAGTTTGGGAAGGTAAGAGTGCAGGCCGGGAGATCGGAAAGGAGACCGTTGCAGTAGTCCAGACAGAGATGATGGTGTGCTGGGTGAGGGTGGTGGCCACGGGCGTGGTGTGAACTGCGTGGGTTTAGACACACATTGAGGGACACATTGGATGTGGAGTGCAATGGGAGGAGGTAGGGGTAAGAGAGACATCAGTATGCCTGCTGGGTTTCTGCCCCGAGTGCCACTAAGTGGGGTGGAAACTGGGGAAGGTGCAGGTATGGAGGAGGAATAGAGAGCTGCGCGCAGATGTGTTAAGTCTGAAGTACTTGCTATACGTTCACGCAAAGTGGTTTAACATCAGTGTATTCATTCACTAACCGATTATTTATTGAGTTTCTATTAAGCACAGCAACCGTCTCCTAAAACCTCCCCACAAAATGTCTTAACAAAGTAAGGTTGTTTGTTTGTTTGTTTGTAAGATTTATTTATTTATTTTTAGAGAGGTGGGGGGCAGAGGGAGAAGGAGAGAATGGAGCCTGATGGGGGATTTGTGATATGCGGTCCTGGGTCAACTGTGTGCTGGAGCAGGCTAGCACATCTCACAAGGGTTCATTTTAAATGTTCAGAAATGTTGCAAATCGGTGGTTAGGTTGTGGACTCCTAGTTTGATCTCAGCTGTGGTGAGGTTATTTACAGGAGGGGAGCTGGCAAATGCTACAATATATTTTTTTTTTTTCAGAGAGCTGGCTTTCCAGCACACCCTTGGATAATAGGAAACAAACACATGTAATCTCTACCTTCATTCAGCTTTCATTCTAGTGTGTGGGGGATAGATCTGTAAACCAATAACTAAACAATTCATTGAAACTGCAATGCTTATTTTGAAGAAATGGGAGTTCTGAGAGTATAGAAGGAAAATGACCTAGGTTGGCCAGCAGGGGTGATCAGGAAGTGATATTTGAGCTGTGATCTGAAGGCTGAGCAGCAGCTTTAACATGGGAAGTCAAGATGTGTTTTATTGACAAGGTGTCATAGTTTGATTGGCATTGCCTTTTTCTTTCTTAGTGGAATGTAAAATAAGAGACTATCTTCCAGTCAGTGGTGGTTTGAATTCAAGTGCACTTACTATTTTTTTTTTTTTAGGATTTTATTTATTTATTTGAGAGAGAGAATGAGATAGAGCATGAGAGGGGGGAGGGTCAGAGGGAGAAGCAGGCTCCCCGCCAAGCAGGGAGCCCGATGCGGGACTGGATCCAGGGACTCCAGGATCACGACCTGAGCCGAAGGCAGTCGCTTAACCAACTGAGCCACCCAGGCGCCCTCAAGTGCACTTATTAATCTGATTAGGGAAGGGTTGTCTGAACTGGGTTTGTGGAGCCCAAATTGGCCATGCACGTGTGGCACAAGGAAGTGTGGAGAAGGGGTAAGAAACCATTAAGTGCTCAGAGGTCCCAGCCCTCCGAATCGAACTAACACCACAGCAGCTCTGACTTTCGTTTTTTGTTGTTCTGCGTCACATTTGTTTGTTCAGAGAAATACATACTGAACACCTAGCGTGTGCCAAACAGTATGTGACACACAGGGGATACAGCATTGAAGAAAACAGCTCCACTCTCATGGAGGTTATATTTGGAAGGAGGGGGATGGGGATTTGAGACAGAACAAACAAACTGAATGATCTAGGTAATTACAGACGGTGATAAATGCAAGTAGATAATAAAACAAAATGAGGGCATTGAGAGTGACCAGGAGGTGACCTGCTTTGGATAGGAGGGTTGTGGAGGATCCTTCTGAGGAGATGACGTTGGAGCTGAGACCTAAAGGATTATAGGGAGCCGGCTACCCAGGGATCCAGGGAATATACCAGTGCCTGGATGTTTTCTATCTCGCTGAGTAGATCTCAGGTAGTTATGGGAGTGAATCCCATCACCTTTGCTATATTCTTTTGGCTAAATATACATCACAAGTTTCTTCCACACTCGGGGAAGTGGATTATACAAGGATGTGATTCATTAGTGATCACTTTAGGGTGTGTCTGCCACACCCAGGTGATCTCTAAAGATTTGTCTAATCAAACTGGCTCATCACATGCTCCTTTTCTCTTTTTGGACAATTTATGTCTCTCCCAAGGGTTATGCATTTGATCAAGAGCTTGGTATTCTCAAGTAAAAGAGGACTCTTCAATCCTCAAGGATATGTTGGTAGCACAGCCACCATCTCCTAAAACCTCC